CTGTTGCAGTGTAATTCCATTCAATGTACAGAACAGAAGTCTTCTTTGATATTTTAGAATTGGTTTTATTTCCTAGCTTTCACGTCACACACAGAATGAATTAATGAAGCATACTCTGGTACGACTAAAATGAATTTCTAAGGCAGTGACTTTTTTCATGCAAGTGTCCGTGTAAACTGTAAATGGTCACAAGATTCTTGAAAGCAAAACCACATGCATACCAGGGCTTGTCAACAAACATCAAATATTTCTACAAAATCAATGTTTTTGAACAACTTCTTGAAGCTTTGTTTTGACAGGACTTCAAAATTTGATAAATATTCAAATTCTTGAACTTTCTAAAGTCTAAAGTGATAAACACATACAGAAGTTAAGGTGGGGGTGGGGATAAAGAAAGCAAAGCAATGATGAGCTGGTTTATGAGTCAGGATGTCGAATCCAGCAAACACTGGATCATGCATAAAGTAAAACATTATGGCCTGAAAAACATTTCATGAGGAAATTTTAAAGTAATATTCATTGATATAATAATAAAAATAATATAAATAAATGAATAAATAAATAAATAAATAAATAAATAAATAAATAAATAAATAAATAAATAAATAAATAAATAAATAAATAAATAAATAAATAAATAAATAAATAAATAAATAAATAAATAAATAAATAAATAAATAAATATATTTTAAAAAAAAAGCATAGGGAGTGTTTATATGTCTATCTTCATGGTTATTATCATATTTACTGTGATCGTACATCTTTCAATACAGTGGGTCTATTAGATTATTTTATATAGACAATTTAACATTGATTTTAACCAAGTACAAAATCTGTGCAAAAAGGTGGATTGAAATGATTCCAGCTAAGACCAATGGAAGCACGCTATGCGCGACTAATCACAAGGTGTCTTTCTTAACCCCCAACCAATCGCAAACATCCTTACTTAATGCGCGCTGATTTCGATTCAAGAGCCACAAACCGTATAAAACTATAGTAAACGCTTGCTCTCGTCATTCATTTTATCTGAACTCAGAGAAGATGGCACGTACCAAGCAAACTGCAAGAAAATCTACTGGAGGCAAGGCCCCACGAAAACAGCTGGCTACCAAGGCAGCCCGTAAAAGCGCACCAGCCACCGGTGGCGTTAAGAAGCCCCACAGATACAGGCCAGGAACTGTCGCTCTCCGTGAGATCAGGAGGTACCAGAAAAGCACCGAGTTGTTGATCAGGAAACTCCCATTCCAGCGTCTTGTCCGTGAAATCGCTCAGGATTTCAAGACAGATCTGCGTTTCCAGAGCTCTGCCGTCATGGCCCTCCAGGAAGCCAGTGAAGCCTACCTTGTCGGACTCTTTGAGGATACCAACTTATGTGCTATCCACGCTAAGAGAGTGACCATCATGCCAAAGGACATCCAGCTTGCCAGACGTATCCGTGGCGAGAGAGCTTAAACATTTTCTTGTCTCGAACAAACACACAAACGGCCGTTTTCACGGCCACCAAAATATTTAGAAAAGATGCCCTCTTTAACAGCACTAATTAGAAACGTGACAACAAAGAGCACAAGTATATTGACCACATAATTTATGTCAGGTGTTATTGGAGAAATATTGTTTATTATATATGAATGCAAGGAAACACACAGATATGATAGTGTCTTGAATACTGGCATAATTGCATAATTATGGCAGCTTATACTCGTATTATATATAAAGAAACCAAACAAACGAAAACACGCATGAAACGAGTGTCGCACAACAGTTTGAGAGAGAAACAATACACTGTAAAAATTACGTACATGTATCCCAAGCAATTCTAAAGGCACGTTAACAGAAATAATAATGATAAAAAAGTGATTCATGCATGGTTATACATATTTTGCTTAAATTCAGAGAGCGTGATAAACAATATGACACAATGGATACTGTTTTGAGAGTAATATTCTGACAGATAATAATAAATATGGTCAGTTGTTTGAAACATTTGCATATATATATTTATTACATTTCTATTCTGCGTAAAGAAATACTACTACTAATAATAATATTAATAATTGAAAAGAAATAAAGAGAGATACAGAGAATAACATGTACTGAGTTGGTAACGTGGTATTTTATTTATTACGAGATGTATTATTTAAATGTGTCTTGCATTAAAGAATATTGTTTTAAATTATTTCCCTGGAAATATGACAGTATACAGAACCCCCGCAAAAATATGAAATCATATATACTGAACTACTGAAATTTAAGATTTGCCTATGTAGACAAGTACATGATTTAGTAACAGCTCAAGGGTACACGAAAAAAATGTCAACAAAAGCAAATACGCAAGGCGCGCAGAGCGCGAACCAATCGCGCTTTAGCTTACACTGTGCCTTCGGAACGTGAAAATTGCACTGCCGAAGTTTTCAAGATACCACTGCTTCTAGCACGTCGTTGATTAGCGCTATATATACCACGATCTCTCCCCTAGCTCCCACATTTCAGAAGATTATCTATTGAGAGCAGAGTTATGTCTGGACGTGGTAAAGGAGGAAAAGGTCTTGGAAAGGGGGGCGCCAAGCGTCACAGGAAGGTCCTGAGAGATAACATCCAGGGTATTACCAAACCCGCCATCCGCCGTCTTGCACGCAGAGGTGGAGTCAAACGTATCTCTGGGCTCATCTACGAGGAGACCCGTGGAGTCCTGAAAGTTTTCCTTGAGAACGTCATTCGTGATGCTGTCACCTACACGGAGCACGCCAAGAGGAAGACCGTCACAGCCATGGACGTTGTCTACGCCCTGAAGAGACAAGGACGTACCCTCTACGGATTCGGTGGTTAGATACCCCTACCATACTGTGCCTCCAAGAGCAAGAACAAACGGCCGTTTTCACGGCCACCCAAATTTTTCGAAAAGATACCTCTGAGCAGACGTGTTAAAGAAACGAAGGTGTTAATTTTTCTATATTCATTTCTAGTGAGCAAAAGAATTTTGATTTAATGTCACTGGAAGAAGGTATATTATTCGGATAGCCTTGCAGTAACTTGTACACAGGGTAGGGGAAAACAAATAATTACAATATCTTCATAATTATTGATTTACATTAGGTTCCCATGTAAGATTTTTGATCAGAAAAAGGGGGGCCTGCATGGGGAAAATACAAACAAACAAAAAAGTCCCATGCTCTAGTTGATTATTTCAAAGGACACATCTGGTAGATAAATATCAATTTAATAACCTGCACGTTGTTACAGTTTCCTGAGATATCGTCGAAAGCTGTAAATATTGAAATAGTATCCCTGTCAATACAGAGACAAAGTACGCGTATACAACAACTCGTACGGTTAAATGTACTTTGACAAGGTAGCAAGAGTTGTCTTTCGTTTTATGTGTGCTGTATATTCCTATGCATTGAGCAAGTGGTTATTTGCAGTGCGGGTCTATCATCTTTACATTTACATGCCTCTATCAACAATAAAGCATGACTTCACGATGTTGTTGTTGTTCTTCATTCTATTACATTTGGATTCCAACATAGACACCACATGTAATAGTAGTACGGCAACAAAGTACACCACACAGTCAAAAACATCATCTCAAGAAAAAAAAACTATGACCCATACTTGCGCGATATATTTCGTAATACCACTAAATATACATGTTTATTTTATACAGGGATGTCCCAGAACTAGCATTGTTTGGTATGATTATCTTGATCCTCATTCCTGTGCAAAACAAACAAACACACACAAAGCAAAATGTTTAAACAGAGATGACTTTGAAATATTCATATGCAGAAATGTGAAACACAACTTGAAGACGCTAGGTCTTAAGAATGTAGTTTATTTGATTACTTGTATATTTCCCGTAGGATCCTAAATGTTTGACATTCAAATGTAATTCCTTTTCAATATCCTTTGAAACGCATTTTTTTTCATGAAGATAACCTGTAATGAGCTATAATATTTTTCCAGTAGATATTAAATCTGTGCTAGTTTTCTATACATGTTGTACACATGTTGATCACAACGTAAAATGTTCAATAAGATGTAATTACAATTTCTGGGTGATTATAGTTTATCTACCATTATCTTTGTGCCTCAGTGCATCACACATCCTTTGATATACTGAATTATAATATCTAGGTTACTTAAGAAATGTTTTTGAAAGTTCATGAAGGTATGACATACCTTTCACCAGGGCATATTTCATACAAATAAAATTATATATACCTGCCAGGGTGAAAAGTATCAGTTCATATCCTCCAGACAGACACTGACAAACTGTCTAGGGTATATATTTTCTATGTATTGAGGTATAGTATATTATTCCTCGTCTGTCATAGTTCATGAGAATAGGAGGAATTTTCATTTAATTTAAAAGAAATAACAAAGAGAATTCAAATTTCAGTTGAATAAGATAGACCCAGGCAAAATATATTATTTCTGTATAATAAGGAATTCGTTCATATTCTTTCTTAACGACATCTTCATTACAAGCCTCTAAGATACAGATATTCAGTGTTTCAGTACTTAAACTGGTATCTTACTAAGTATATACTTTCTCTTAATGATTTCTAATGTATAATGATCCAATATAATTATAAACACTGCATACGGTAATATTTATAATTTGCTTGTGCTCTGTTTTTAACCTACATTTTTTTGTTATCTTTATGATATAAATTATTCATTCTGGCTGTCTTCCATGTGCTTGAGAGGGGAAAAAAAGTGAACTGCTCTGTTGTTAAATTACTTTAAGGCTCACATAGTATAACATGCCTATGTGTAGCTAAAATTTGTTTTCGTCTGCAACTGTTGTGTTATAAATTATTCGTTGGGGCCCTGTTTTTTTTTTTTTTTTTTTCCTTTCTTAAATTCCCTGTCTGTAAATATATAATGTACACTATGAGGGGGCACATGTTCATTTATTTTTCAGAGGGTGAGCGTGTTTTTTTATTTTCAGGCATAGACCAACATTCAAAATTATCAATTAGCAAGAACAGTGTCTACAGACAAAAACAGATAATGCTAAGAAATAAAAATAAATAAGGTAAACATCTTGTTAAGACAAAACCTGATATACACACGTTTCTTAACGCTGTATTGAAAGTATCTTTTCGAAAAATTTGTGTGGCCCTGAAAAGGGCCGTTTTGTTTTTCTGAAGTGCAAGTTTGCAGTTTACTTGCTGCTGGTGTACTTGGTGACAGCCTTGGTTCCCTCAGAGACGGCGTGTTTGGCCAACTCACCGGGCAGAAGGAGACGGACAGCAGTCTGGATCTCTCTGCTGGTGATGGTTGATCGCTTGTTGTAGTGAGCGAGACGGGAGGCTTCGGCAGCGATTCTCTCAAAGATGTCGTTGACGAAAGAGTTCATGATGCTCATGGCCTTGCTGGAAACACCAGTATCTGGGTGAACCTGTTTCAGGACCTTGTAGATGTAAATGGCATAGGATTCCCTCCTCTTCCTGCGCTTTTTCTTGTCCCCAGTTCTCTGGGCCTTGGCCTTAGTGGCTGCTTTCTTAGCTCCTTTAGATCCGACTTTGGGTGGCATGTTTACAGGTTGTATACAAACTGAAAACTATGAGTGTCGATTCGCGCCTCGCTGGTTTTATATCGCACGGACGGATAACGGCCGATCAGTACATTACGAACCCTCGAGAAAACTAGTGTTGTTCGGCGAGCGACAAAGTGTGTAAAATACGATCGTGCCGATTGGCTGTACGGTTCAATCCGCCTGCGTGTTTAAATAGGGTCGCGAAGCCTGAGTTAAGAGTTATTCGTTGATTTCATTTCTTGAGCGTCAACTACTCGTAACAGATCAAAGATGTCAGGACGTGGTAAAGGAGGCAAGGTGAAGGGAAAGGCCAAGAGCCGATCATCCCGTGCCGGACTTCAGTTCCCCGTGGGTCGTATCCACCGTCTGCTGAGGAAGGGCAACTACGCCGAGAGAGTGGGAGCCGGTGCCCCCGTGTACCTGGCCGCCGTTCTTGAATACTTGGCCGCCGAAGTCTTGGAGTTGGCAGGCAACGCCGCCCGCGACAACAAGAAGACCAGAATCATCCCCCGTCATCTGCAGCTGGCTATCCGCAACGACGAGGAGTTGAACAAACTGCTGTCCGGCGTGACCATCGCCCAGGGTGGTGTCCTGCCCAACATCCAGGCCGTGCTCCTCCCCAAGAAGACCCAGAAGTCCGCCAGCAAGTAAAAAAAAGTCTGTACGACTTTCAAATATACCAAACGGCCGTTTTCACGGCCACCCAATTTTTTCGAAAAGATGCCTCTGAGCGCATACTGTTAATATAAGAAACGAAATGCATGTTTAATAAATGAAAATATACATGCCAAGATATCACATTAATTTGACGTATATACAGTACCAGGCCATAAGTGAATCCTAATTGATTTTTGTGGCACATAATTTCAAAATGTAAGCGTGACATCACGCAACAAATGCAAAACTGAAATTTTACGGCACAGATTTGTTAAGAAATCATGGTAGAAATGTCAGCCACGATGAATTGTTTTCAATGATCAAAGGTATATAGTAACTAAGCAAATGATTTATTAGAGTGACACGTGTTATATACCATACAACAACATTTCAATAGGGTTCAATCAAAAATCCACATATTATTATTACTCAATCTTGTGTTTATTTTAAAACAAATTTGTGTAAGAAATGGTATAGAAGACGAAATTCCTTTTTTTTTCTTTTTTTTTTATAGCACTGTGCTTAATTTGTACTCTGAATACCGGTCAAAGTTTTTTTGAAAACGTGTTTTAATCGAATGCCAATTGTAAAATGTATCTCGGTGTCATATGCATCTTCCAATATATATGTATATATATTTATATTTTTTTAATAACAGACACTGCTAATCTTAGCACACAGGTGTATACTTACAAAATGCATATATTTAAATATGATGTATATTTTCATGTACTTTTTTTTTTTTAAGCTGTTTGTGAACAAATCAAGTAATGTACACATGTCACTAAAAATAAATAAATGACTTCCTTACCGTAACACCAATTAAATATTAAAACACCTATAGATATGTCAGGTTTAACAAAAATGAATAAAAGAATATATATACATTGTAAAATATACACATCGATATTATGCATAGTAGTAGGAAAATCGGAAAACTTCAAAGGAAATTTTGAATAATTCTGAATCATGGTAATCGGGCTTAATTTTACCTCACAATAATTTCTTATCAATGAAATTAATCTTTTAAAACAGCAAAAAAGAAAATAGCTGAAAAAGCAACAAAAGCATTATATGAAGTATTAAAGAAAGGAAGATTACATAACCTATCAATACAGTGTCAACTTGATTTGTTTGATAAAATCGTTGCAACCTATATTGTTATATGGATGTGAAGTGTGGGGATTTTCAAATAATGCAATTATAGAAAGGGTACATCTAAAATTCTGTAAACTTTTACTCCATTTAAAAGATTCAACCCCAGATTTCATGATATATGGTGAGCTTGGTCGATACCCTATGGAAATTCAAATAGAAACACGCATGATATCTTACTGGTCAAAATTAATTACTGGCAAAGAAACAAAAATTGCAAAATTTATGCTATAAATTAGGCTTTATTATAAATCAAGAAATAGGAGGAAAAATCAGCTGGTTTGAAAATATTGGAAATATTCTGAATAATTGTGGGCTATCTAATATTTGGCTTGAACAAAGCTCAAATAATACAAAATGGTTAAAGGCGAAAGTTAAACTCACATTAATTGATCAATTCAAGCAAAGTTGGCAATCAACTCTTCAAACCTCACCTAAAGCATTAAATTATCGAATATACAAAGACGAATTAAAGTTTGAAAACTATTTTAATATTTTATCAAAACAGGATTCAACTACATTTTGTAGATTCCGAACTTGTTACCATCATTTACCAATTGAAAATGGACGTTGGCTTAATATACCAAGACAAGACAGAATTTGTTCCCATTGTAATCTAAAAGAAATCGGAGATGAATTTCATTACATACTAATGTGCACTTCACTACCAAAAGAAAGAATGCTATGCTTAACAGAAAAACACATAAGATTTAAGAATATAATTAGTTTTAAAAACATCATGAATAGCAATAAGCACTGTTTTCTGAGAAAGATGTGTTCGTTTCTAAAGAAAATAAATAAAATATGCTCCCCGGCCTAGAATTCCCATGCTTCACATTTATAGCAAAATACTAGTTTTTGTTCTTTATTATTCACGCATGCTATTGCTATGTATTAAATTATCTATTTGGTGTAAGTCTCTATAGGCTATTGTAAAATGGTGAAGAGATTCAAATAAATGAATACTGAATACTGTAAAATTGAAATTAGGACTCACTTATATTATGGCCATTTATCGTATTTATAAATTATTTGGATACACAACGCCATTTAATGCAGGTACAGAATCCGTACGTGTAAGAGCAGAATCCTGGGGAGTGATTTTAACAGCATGATTTATTTTTATTTTTATTTTTAGGTAAAATATCAGCGACGCAGATGACATTGTGAAAAGTTTTGTGTTTCGACGGGTTTATATATATGCCTGGATATTATGCTTCATTTAGTTTTAAATATTTTTTTTTTTATCGATTGGAAACAAGTTCTTACAACTTCCTGAAATATAACAGTGTGTCCTGCAAAATAAATAGCTTGAGTATGCAATGTATAAAATTAATTACACGTATAATGCACCAGGGAAATGCGAAAACTTGTCAGCATAACGCACAAGCACGAAAAAGAAAAGAAAGAATGAATATGATTTAAAAATAACAACGATAATAACGGAAATTAAGAGTTTAAGAAAAAGTAATTTCCATATTGTCTATCAGTCGTCTATACCGCATGTCTAAATAGGCAGGTATGACACAGTACACAGTCTTTGTGAATTTCTCGCAGTTGGAGGGCAAACTAAGAATTTTTATAAGACGGGGAGATCCAAATGGCATTCTTTAATGTGTCTAATAAAAAAATAAAAGAAATCATCCCTGATTCCTGTCCTTTGAAGCAAAATTTTTAGCTTTAATCGTGCCCCGAAATTCAAACATGACAGTTTGGAGGCGTATTTTCCTGAATTTAAACACTACAGTTACAACGACCTTAAAATGTAAATAGATAGAATGGTAGAGAGAAATGTAAAGGCTGGGATTCTGCTCATGTTATGTGGTGAAGTTCATTCCTTGAGCTGCAGCGCGGATGCAAATACCCACATTGAAACACACATCCATGAACAAAACAACAAACGTCTCGACAAACTAGATGTTTTCTAGGCGGTCCGCGCTCCGTGTAAACAAAAACAGCAAGTGCGTGTGACCCGAGTATTTCGCTGTTCACAGTTCCTGAGAAGTAAGTCGACGTTTTACTCTCGTCAGTAGCCATGGCCGATACTGCTCCTCCAGCAAAGTCCCCAGCCAAGAAGAAGGCCGCAAAGCCTAAGGTGCCCGCTGCACATCCCAAGTACATTGACATGATTAGCGCTGCTGTTGCATCTCTGAAAGAACGTGGTGGCTCATCTCGACAGGCCATTCTCAAGTACATCATGGCCAACTACAAAGTGGGCAGCGATGTTAACTCTATCAACGCCCACCTGAAAATGGCCCTGAAGAGCGGAGTTAAGAAAGGCGCTCTGAAGCAAGCAAAGGGCACAGGCGCTAGTGGCTCCTTCAAACTTGGAGACAAACCCAAGACCGAAAAGAAGCCTAAAGCCAAAAAGGTAGCCAAACCCAAGGCAGCCAAGCCCAAGAAGGCCGCCACCAAGCCCAAGAAGCCTGCGGGAGAGAAGAAGGCCAAGACTCCAAAGAAGAAGGCAGCAGCCAAGAAACCAGCCGGACCCAAGAAAGCCAAGTCCCCCAAGAAAAAGGCAGCCCCCAAGTCTCCAAAGAAGGCAGCAGCCAAACCCAAGAAGGCCAAGACCCCCAAGAAGGCAGCGGCCAAGAAGACAAAGACTCCCAAGAAAGCAGCCGCCAAGAAATAAACAGTCTTCGCATTCCAGGCAGACTGTCTACGCTTAAAACAAAATTTAAAAAGCCCTTTTCAGGGCTACCCACATTTTTAGAAAAGATGCCTTAAAAACATTCGTTAACGAAACATTTGCATAATCATTGCCTTTCTTTTCCCTCTCTTTCTCATTTTAATATTTGGAATGCAGAGGTTAGTGTTGAAAATTTAAACTAAACAAACATGTGAAATATTACAATTTCACTAACAATATATCTTACACAAATGCCTACACTGTCTAGGTGTAAACTAGGATTATGTGCTCATGGTAATTTATGTAATTGCATGCATATCTCACATGAATTCCTGATTGAACAATAATCTAAATAATAGGGAGGAGCAGTAAGTGAAATGAATGATGATTAAAAAAGTGTATGAATTAATTTTAGTTTATAATGTACATAATATCAGGTCAAGTTTGAATTATTATATATGATAGACCATTTTCACACACCTTCTCACACACATACACTCACTGACTGTTGCAGTGTAATTCCATTCAATGTACAGAACAGAAGTCTTCTTTGATATTTTAGAATTGGTTTTATTTCCTAGCTTTCACGTCACACACAGAATGAATTAATGAAGCATACTCTGGTACGACTAAAATGAATTTCTAAGGCAGTGACTTTTTTCATGCAAGTGTCCGTGTAAACTGTAAATGGTCACAAGATTCTTGAAAGCAAAACCACATGCATACCAGGGCTTGTCAACAAACATCAAATATTTCTACAAAATCAATGTTTTTGAACAACTTCTTGAAGCTTTGTTTTGACAGGACTTCAAAATTTGATAAATATTCAAATTCTTGAACTTTCTAAAGTCTAAAGTGATAAACACATACAGAAGTTAAGGTGGGGGTGGGGATAAAGAAAGCAAAGCAATGATGAGCTGGTTTATGAGTCAGGATGTCGAATCCAGCAAACACTGGATCATGCATAAAGTAAAACATTATGGCCTGAAAAACATTTCATGAGGAAATTTTAAAGTAATATTCATTGATATAATAATAAAAATAATATAAATAAATAAATAAATAAATAAATAAATAAATAAATAAATAAATAAATAAATAAATAAATAAATAAATAAATAAATAAATAAATAAATAAATAAATAAATAAATAAATAAATATATTTTAAAAAAAAAGCATAGGGAGTGTTTATATGTCTATCTTCATGGTTATTATCATATTTACTGTGATCGTACATCTTTCAATACAGTGGGTCTATTAGATTATTTTATATAGACAATTTAACATTGATTTTAACCAAGTACAAAATCTGTGCAAAAAGGTGGATTGAAATGATTCCAGCTAAGACCAATGGAAGCACGCTATGCGCGACTAATCACAAGGTGTCTTTCTTAACCCCCAACCAATCGCAAACATCCTTACTTAATGCGCGCTGATTTCGATTCAAGAGCCACAAACCGTATAAAACTATAGTAAACGCTTGCTCTCGTCATTCATTTTATCTGAACTCAGAGAAGATGGCACGTACCAAGCAAACTGCAAGAAAATCTACTGGAGGCAAGGCCCCACGAAAACAGCTGGCTACCAAGGCAGCCCGTAAAAGCGCACCAGCCACCGGTGGCGTTAAGAAGCCCCACAGATACAGGCCAGGAACTGTCGCTCTCCGTGAGATCAGGAGGTACCAGAAAAGCACCGAGTTGTTGATCAGGAAACTCCCATTCCAGCGTCTTGTCCGTGAAATCGCTCAGGATTTCAAGACAGATCTGCGTTTCCAGAGCTCTGCCGTCATGGCCCTCCAGGAAGCCAGTGAAGCCTACCTTGTCGGACTCTTTGAGGATACCAACTTATGTGCTATCCACGCTAAGAGAGTGACCATCATGCCAAAGGACATCCAGCTTGCCAGACGTATCCGTGGCGAGAGAGCTTAAACATTTTCTTGTCTCGAACAAACACACAAACGGCCGTTTTCACGGCCACCAAAATATTTAGAAAAGATGCCCTCTTTAACAGCACTAATTAGAAACGTGACAACAAAGAGCACAAGTATATTGACCACATAATTTATGTCAGGTGTTATTGGAGAAATATTGTTTATTATATATGAATGCAAGGAAACACACAGATATGATAGTGTCTTGAATACTGGCATAATTGCATAATTATGGCAGCTTATACTCGTATTATATATAAAGAAACCAAACAAACGAAAACACGCATGAAACGAGTGTCGCACAACAGTTTGAGAGAGAAACAATACACTGTAAAAATTACGTACATGTATCCCAAGCAATTCTAAAGGCACGTTAACAGAAATAATAATGATAAAAAAGTGATTCATGCATGGTTATACATATTTTGCTTAAATTCAGAGAGCGTGATAAACAATATGACACAATGGATACTGTTTTGAGAGTAATATTCTGACAGATAATAATAAATATGGTCAGTTGTTTGAAACATTTGCATATATATATTTATTACATTTCTATTCTGCGTAAAGAAATACTACTACTAATAATAATATTAATAATTGAAAAGAAATAAAGAGAGATACAGAGAATAACATGTACTGAGTTGGTAACGTGGTATTTTATTTATTACGAGATGTATTATTTAAATGTGTCTTGCATTAAAGAATATTGTTTTAAATTATTTCCCTGGAAATATGACAGTATACAGAACCCCCGCAAAAATATGAAATCATATATACTGAACTACTGAAATTTAAGATTTGCCTATATAGACAAGTACATGATTTAGTAACAGCTCAAGGGTACACGAAAAAAATGTCAACAAAAGCAAATACGCAAGGCGCGCAGAGCGCGAACCAATCGCGCTTTAGCTTACACTGTGCCTTCGGAACGTGAAAATTGCACTGCCGAAGTTTTCAAGATACCACTGCTTCTAGCACGTCGTTGATTAGCGCTATATATACCACGATCTCTCCCCTAGCTCCCACATTTCAGAAGATTATCTACTGAGAGCAGAGTTATGTCTGGACGTGGTAAAGGAGGAAAAGGTCTTGGAAAGGGGGGCGCCAAGCGTCACAGGAAGGTCCTGAGAGATAACATCCAGGGTATTACCAAACCCGCCATCCGCCGTCTTGCACGCAGAGGTGGAGTCAAACGTATCTCTGGGCTCATCTACGAGGAGACCCGTGGAGTCCTGAAAGTTTTCCTTGAGAACGTCATTCGTGATGCTGTCACCTACACGGAGCACGCCAAGAGGAAGACCGTCACAGCCATGGACGTTGTCTATGCCCTGAAGAGACAAGGACGTACCCTCTACGGATTCGGTGGTTAGATACCCCTACCATACTGTGCCTCCAAGAGCAAGAACAAACGGCCGTTTTCACGGCCACCCAAATTTTTCGAAAAGATACCTCTGAGCAGACGTGTTAAAGAAACGAAGGTGTTAATTTTTCTATATTCATTTCTAGTGAGCAAAAGAATTTTGATTTAATGTCACTGGAAGAAGGTATATTATTCGGATAGCCTTGCAGTAACTTGTACACAGGGTAGGGGAAAACAAATAATTACAATATCTTCATAATTATTGATTTACATTAGGTTCCCATGTAAGATTTTTGATCAGAAAAAGGGGGGCCTGCATGGGGAAAATACAAACAAACAAAAAAGTCCCATGCTCTAGTTGATTATTTCAAAGGACACATCTGGTAGATAAATATCAATTTAATAACCTGCACGTTGTTACAGTTTCCTGAGATATCGTCGAAAGCTGTAAATATTGAAATAGTATCCCTGTCAATACAGAGACAAAGTACGCGTATACAACAACTCGTACGGTTAAATGTACTTTGACAAGGTAGCAAGAGTTGTCTTTCGTTTTATGTGTGCTGTATATTCCTATGCATTGAGCAAGTGGTTATTTGCAGTGCGGGTCTATCATCTTTACATTTACATGCCTCTATCAACAATAAAGCATGACTTCACGATGTTGTTGTTGTTCTTCATTCTATTACATTTGGATTCCAACAGAGACACCACATGTAATAGTAGTACGGCAACAAAGTACACCACACAGTCAAAAACATCATCTCAAGAAAAAAAAACTATGACCCATACTTGCGCGATATATTTCGTAATACCACTAAATATACATGTTTATTTTATACAGGGATGTCCCAGAACTAGCATTGTTTGGTATGATTATCTTGATCCTCATTCCTGTGCAAAACAAACAAACACACACAAAGCAAAATGTTTAAACAGAGATGACTTTGAAATATTCATATGCAGAAATGTGAAACACAACTTGAAGACGCTAGGTCTTAAGAATGTAGTTTATTTGATAACTTGTATACTTCCCGTAGGATCCTAAATGTTTGACATTCAAATGTAATTCCTTTTCAATATCCTTTGAAATACATTTTTTTTTTTCATGAAGATAACTTGTAATGAGCTATAACATTTTTCCAGTATGTAGATATTAAATCTGTGCTAGGCCTAGTTTTCTATACATGTTGTACACATGTTGATCACAATGTAAAATGTTCAATAAGATGTAATTACAATTTCTGGGTGATTATAGTTTATCTACCATTATCTTTGTGCCTCAATGCATCACACATCCTTTGATATACTGAATTATAATATCTAGGTTACTTAAGAAATGTTTTTGAAAGTTCATGAAGGTATGACATACCTTTCACCAGGGCATATTTCATACAAATAAAATTATATATACCTGCCAGGGTGAAAAGTATCAGTTCATATCCTCCAGACAGACACCGACAAACTGTCTAGGGTATATTTTCTATGTATTGAGGTATAGTATATTATTCCTCGTCTGTCATAGTTTATGAGAATAGGAGGAATTTCATTAATTCAAAAGAAATAACAAAGAGAATTCATATTTCAGTTGAATAAGATAGACCCAGGCAAAATATATCATTTCTGTATAATAAGGAATTCGTTCATATTCTTTCTTAACGACATCTTCATTACAAGCCTCTAAGATACAGATATTCAGTGTTTCAGTACTTAAACTGGTATCTTACTAAGTATATACTTTCTCTTAATGATTTCTAATGTATAATGATCCAATATAATTATAAACACTGCATACGGTAATATTTATAATTTGCTTGTGCTCTGTTTTTCAAGTTCAAGTTCTTTATTTCTTTGCGTCATACGACACATCAGATTACATATATAAACATATATACAATATTGTAAAATATAACAATATGAGAGTGAGCGTAATCAATAAATAGCAAGTAAACTATGTAGGACGTGTTTTCTAACAGGCAACTGTAATTATGAAATACTTAAAAATTTACAAATGTTTCATTCTTCTAGTGGAAGCTTGATATAAATATTTTCCAAGGTTACAAAGTTCCTTTATATTTTGTACACTTAGAAGTTGAATTAATTTCCAAACACTGGATTTCTTATAATAATACTTTTTCAAATACTTAGATCTAAGGTCATGATAAAAAGGACATTGTAAAATAAAATGAAATTCGTCTTCGATAACATTCAAAGAGCACATTTTACATAATCTGTTTTTTCTAATTTCATTAACATATCTACCAGTTTCAACATTTAGATTATGTGCAGATAGTCTAATTCTAGCAATTTGTATTTTGTACATATAATTAATAGGTTTACGCAAGTAATATTGTATACCAAAATTATCAACCAGATGTTGGTATAGCGGGCTACGGGCATTGCTACAAATATTAGAAATCATAGTATGATTATTCACCTCAAGGAATCTTTGTTTTACTAACATGTAAGTATTATCATTGAAATCTGCATCAAATATATAGCCAAGTCCCAGTTTATTAAGTTCATTTTGAATATCTCTGATCCAACTATCATTATTCCTTACTCTTTCTTCCAAGCATGATTTTAGTAGAGTATTTTGTGTCCCCTTTAGTTTCAAAAAATATTTTATAATTTTCAATTTTCTAGATTCCCTCATAGGCATTCTTCCAAGTTCGAAATACACAAGATTGTTACAGGCACTTTTTTTTAAACGAAGTAACTTTTTACAAAAGAGACTTTGTATTTTTTCTACATCTGGAGCTTTATGAAATCCCCACACCTCTGCTCCATAATTAAGAATACTACATACATACATTTCAAAAAGTGATATTTGAGTTTCGACATTAAAATCAAAGTTGCAGAATTTTTTGTTCAACGCATAAAATGCTTTTCTTCCCTGTTCAGCTACGTGCTTTTGAGTTATATTAAATTTACCATTATAATTGAAACACATTCCTAGATAACTGAATCTATCTACTATTTCAAGTTCTTTTCCATTGTAAACCCATTTTTCTTCATTTCGTAAACTTTTACCATTTCTAAAAACTAAAATTTTGGTTTTATCTGTATTAACTTCAAGACCCCATTTCTTATTATAAGTACTTAATTCATTCAATAATGTTTGAAGTGACATTGGTGAGTCTGCAATAAGTACCATATCATCTGCATACATCAATAAAAAAATGGAAATTAACTGCAGTTCAACATAAGGACAATTGTTTTCTAAAAAATGCATCTCACAATCATTAACATATAATGAAAACAATAGAGGTGATAAAACCTCCCCCTGCAGTAAGCCCACATTATTTTCAAAATACTCCGACAGCATACCATTGAACTTCACACATGATTTCACACTAGCATATAATGATTTAATAATATTGAACATTTTGCCTGTTATACCTTGTTTAACTAATTTACACCACATTTTAGCTCTATCAATTAGATCAAATGCTTTTCGATAATCTATAAAACAGCAATATAGTCGGCCACCCTTTTTCTGCAAAAATTTATTAACTAATGTTTGTAGTACAAATATTGCATCAACCGTACTATTTCCAGGTTTAAATCCAAACTGCGCGTCTGTAATAACATTATTCAAACTATCCCATTCTAGCAGCCTAGCATTTAAAATGGAAGTGAATAGCTTACCTAAACAACTAATTAAAGTAATGCCTCTATAATTATTTGCATCATTACGATCACCCTTTTTAAAAACTGGTATTATACAACCCTTAGACCATTCACTAGGAAAAAACCCTGAATTAAATATTGAGTTGAAAAGTTTTGTTATGATGGGTAATAATGAATTTTTACATTCTATCAGTAACTCGTTAAGGATAAGGTCCTCACCACAACTCTTATTTCGTTTTAGTTTACCAATTGCTTTTATAATTTTTTTTAACCTACATTTTTTTTTTAATCTTTATGATAATTATTCATTCTGGCTGTCTTTCATGTGCTTGAGAGAGAGGGAAAAAAAGTGAACTGCTCTGTTGTTAAATTACTTTAAGGCTCACATTGTACAACATGCCTATGTGTAGCTAAAATTTGTTTTCGTCTGCAACTGTTGTGTTATAAATTATTCTTTGGGGCCCTGTTTTTTTTTTTTTGTTTTTTTTCTTTCTTAAATTCCCTGTCTGTAAATAATATTTAATGTACACTATGAGGGGGCACGTGTTCATTTATTTTTCAGAGGGTGTGCGTGTTTTTTTTTATTTTCAGGCATAGACCAACATTCAAAATTATTAATTAGCAAGAAGACAAAAACAGATAATGCTAAGAAATAAAATAAATAAGGTAAACATCTTGTTAAGACAAAACCTGATATACACACGTTTCTTAACGCTGTATTGAAAGTATCTTTTCGAAAAATTTGTGTGGCCCTGAAAAGGGCCGTTTTGTTTTTCTGAAGGGCAAGTTTGCAGTTTACTTGCTGCTGGTGTACTTGGTGACAGCCTTGGTTCCCTCAGAGACGGCGTGTTTGGCCAACTCACCGGGCAGAAGGAGACGGACAGCAGTCTGGATCTCTCTGCTGGTGATGGTTGATCGCTTGTTGTAGTGAGCGAGACGGGAGGCCTCGGCAGCGATTCTCTCAAAGATGTCGTTGACGAAAGAGTTCATGATGCTCATGGCCTTGCTGGAAACACCAGTATCTGGGTGAACCTGTTTCAGGACCTTGTAGATGTAAATGGCGTAGGATTCCCTCCTCTTCCTGCGCTTTTTCTTGTCCCCAGTTCTCTGGGCCTTGGCCTTGGTGGCTGCTTTCTTAGCTCCTTTAGATCCGACTTTGGGTGGCATGTTTACAGATTGTCTACAACTGAAAACTATGAGTGTCGATTCGCGCCTCGTTGCTTTTATATCGCACGGACGGATAACGGCGGATCAGTACATTACGAACCCTCGAGAAAACTAGTGTTGTTCGGCGAGCGACAAAGTGTGTAAAATACGATCGTGCCGATTGGCTGCACGCTTCAATCCGCCCGCGTGTTTAAATAGGGTCGCGAAGACTAAGTTAGAGTTATTCGTTGATTTCATTTCTTGAGCGTCAACTACTCGTAACAGATCAAAGATGTCAGGACGTGGTAAAGGAGGCAAGGTGAAGGGAAAGGCCAAGAGCCGATCATCCCGTGCCGGACTTCAGTTCCCCGTGGGTCGTATCCACCGTCTGCTGAGGAAGGGCAACTACGCCGAGAGAGTGGGAGCCGGTGCCCCCGTGTACCTGGCCGCCGTTCTTGAATACTTGGCCGCCGAAGTCTTGGAGTTGGCAGGCAACGCCGCCCGCGACAACAAGAAGACCAGAATCATCCCCCGTCATCTGCAGCTGGCCATCCGCAACGACGAGGAGTTGAACAAACTGCTGTCCGGCGTGACCATCGCCCAGGGTGGTGTCCTGCCCAACATCCAGGCCGTGCTCCTCCCCAAGAAGACCCAGAAGTCCGCCAGCAAGTAAAAAAGTCTGTACGACTTTCAAATATACCAAACGGCCGTTTTCACGGCCACCCAATTTTTTCGAAAAGATGCCTCTGAGCGCATACTGTTGATATAAGAAACGAAATGCATGTTTAATAAATGAAAATATACATGCCAAGATATCACATTAATTTCACGTATATACAGTACCAGGCCATAAGTGAATCCTAATTGATTTTTGTGGCACATAATTTCAAAATGTAAGCTTGACATCACTGCACATGCAACAAATGCAAAACTGAAATTTTACGGCACAAATTTGTTAAGAAATCATGGTAGAAATGTTTTCAATGATCAAAGGTATATAGTAACTAAGCAAATGATTTATTAGAGTGACACGTGTTATATACCATACAACAACATTTCAATCCACATATTATTATTACTCACACTTGTGTTTATTTTAAAACAAATTTGGGTAAGAAATGGTATAGAAGACGAAATTTTTTTTTTATAGCACTGTGCTTAATTTTGTACTCTGAATACCGGTCAAAGTTGTTTTTTTTTTTTTTTTTTGTTTTTTTTTTTGAAAACACGTGTTTTAATCGAATGTCAAAAATAAGAATGCTAATTGTAAAATGTATCTCGGTGTCATATACATCTTCCAATATTTTTTTTTTTATAACAGACACTGCTAATCTTAGCACACAGGTGTATACTTACAAAATGCATATATTTAAATATGATGTATATTTTCATGTACTTTTTTTTTTTTTAAGCTGTTTGTGAACAAATCAAGTAATGTACACATGTCACTAAAAATAAATAAATGACTTCCTTACCGTAACACCAATTAAATATTAAAACACCTATAGATATGTCAGGTTTAACAAAAATGAATAAAAGAATATATATACATTGTAAAATATACACATCGATATTATGCATAGTAGTAGGAAAATCGGAAAACTTCAAAGGAAATTTTGAATAATTCTGAATCATGGTAATCGGGCTTAATTTTACCTCACAATAATTTCTTATCAATGAAATTAATCTTTTAAAACAGCAAAAAAGAAAATAGCTGAAAAAGCAACAAAAGCATTATATGAAGTATTAAAGAAAGGAAGATTACATAACCTATCAATACAGTGTCAACTTGATTTGTTTGATAAAATCGTTGCAACCTATATTGTTATATGGATGTGAAGTGTGGGGATTTTCAAATAATGCAATTATAGAAAGGGTACATCTAAAATTCTGTAAACTTTTACTCCATTTAAAAGATTCAACACCAGATTTCATGATATATGGTGAGCTTGGTCGATACCCTATGGAAATTCAAATAGAAACACGCATGATATCTTACTGGTCAAAATTAATTACTGGCAAGGAAACAAAAATTGCAAATTTATGCTATAAATTAGGCTTTATTATAAATCAAGAAATAGGAGGAAAAATCAGCTGGTTTGAAAATATTGGAAATATCTAATATTTGGCTTGAACAAAGCTCAAATAATACAAAATGGTGAAAGGCGAGAGTTAAACTCACATTAATTGATCAATTCAAGCAAAGTTGGCAATCAACTCTTCAAACCTCACCTACAGCATTAAATTATAGAATATACAAAGACGAATTAAAGTTTGAAAACTATTTTAATATTTTATCAAAAAAGGATTCAACTACATTCTGTAGATTCCGAACTTGTAACCATCATTTACCAATTGAAAATGGTCGTTGGCTTAATATACCAAGACAAGACAGAATTTGTTCCCATTGTAATCTAAAAGAAATCGGAGATGAATTTCATTACATATACTAATGTGCGCTTCACTACAAAAAGTAAGAATGCTATGCTTAACAGAAAAACACATAAGATTTAAGAATATAATTAGTTTTAAAAAATCATGAATAGCAATAAACGCTGTTTTTTGATAAAATATAAATAAAATATGCTCCCCGGCCTAGAATTCCCATGCTTCACATTTATAGCAAAGTACTAGTTTTTGTTCTTTATTATACACGCATGCTATTGCTATGTATTAAATTATCTATTTGGTGTAAGTCTCTATATGCTATTGTAAAATGGTGAAGAGATTCAAATAAATGAAAACTGAATACTGTAAAATTGAAATTAGGACTCACTTATATTATGGCCCTTTATTGTATTTATAAATTATTTGGATACACAACGCCATTTAATACAGGTACAGTATTCGTACGTGTAAGAGCAGAATCCTGGGGAGTGATTTTAACAGCATGATTTTTTTTATTTTTATTTTTAGGTGAAATATCAGCGACGCAGAGGACATAATTGTGAAAAGTTTTGTCTTTCGACGCTTTTCGACGGGTTTATATATATATGCCTGGATATTATGCTTCATTTAGTTTTGAATATTTTTTTATTGATTGGAAACAAGTTCTCACAACTTCCTGAAATATAACTGTGTGTCCTGCAAAATAAATAGCTTGAGTATGCAATGTATAAAATTAATTACACGTAATGCACTTGGGAAATGCGAAAACTTGTCAGCATAACGCACAAGCACGAAAAGAAAATAAAGAATGAATATGATTTAAAATAACAACCATAATTACGGAAATTAAGAGTTTAAGAAAAAGTATTTTCCATATTGTTTATCAGTCGTCTATACCGCATGTCTAAATAGGCAGGTATGACACAGTACACAATCTTTGTGAATTTCTCGCAGTAGGAGGGCAAACTAAGAATTTTTATAAGACGGGGAGATCCAAATGGCCTTTTTTAATGTGTCTAATAAAAAAATAAAAGAAATTATCCCTGATTTTTGTCCTTGGAAGCAAAATTTTTAGCTTCACAGTTCCTGAGAAGTAAGTCGACGTTTTACTCTCGTCAGTATAGCCATGGCCGATACTGCTCCTCCAGCAAAGTCCCCAGCCGAGAAGAAGGCCGCAAAGACTAAGGTGCCCGCTGCACATCCCAAGTACATTGACATGATTAGCGCTGCTGTTGCATCTCTGAAAGAACGTGGTGGCTCATCTCGACAGGCCATTCTCAAGTACATCATGGCCAACTACAAAGTGGGCAACGATGTTAACTCTATCAACGCCCACCTGAAAATGGCCCTGAAGAGCGGAGTTAAGAAAGGTTAAGAAAGGTGCTCTGAAGCAAGCAAAGGGCACAGGCGCTAGTGGCTCCTTCAAACTTGGAGACAAACCCAAGACCGAAAAGAAGCCTAAAGCCAAAAAGGTAGCCAAACCCAAGGCAGCCAAGCCCAAGAAGGCCGCCACCAAGCCCAAGAAGCCTGCGGGAGAGAAGAAGGCCAAGACTCCAAAGAAGAAGGCAGCAGCCAAGAAACCAGCCGGACCCAAGAAAGCCAAGTCCTCCAAGAAAAAGGCACCCCCCAAGTCTCCAAAGAAGACAGCAGCCAAACCCAAGAGGGCCAAGACCCCCAAGAAGGCAGCGGCCAAGAAGACAAAGACTCCCAAGAAAGCGGCCGCCAAGAAATAAGCAGTCTTCGCATTCCAGGCAGACTGTCTACGCTTAAAAAAAAATTTAAAAAGCCCTTTTCAGGGCTACCCACATTTTTAGAAAAGATGCCTTAAAAACATTCGTTAACGAAACATTTGCATAATCTTTGCCTTTCTTTTCCCTCTCTTTCTCATTTTAATATTTGGAATGCAGAGGTCTGTGTTGAAAATTTAAACTAAACAAACATCTGAAATATTACAATTTCACTAACAACATATCTTACACAAATGCCTACACTGTCTAGGCATAAACTAGGATTATGTGCTCATGGTAATATGTAAATGTAATTGCATGCAGTCTCACATGAATTCCTGATTGAACAATAATCTAAATAATAGGGAGGAGCAGTAAGTGAAATGAATGATGATTGAAAAGGTGTGTGAATTAATTTTAGTTTATAATGTACATAATATCAGGTCGAGTCTGAATTATTATATATGATAGACCATTTTCACCCACCCACTCTCTCACACACATACACTCACTGACTGGTACAGTGTAATTCCATTCAATGTACAGAACAGAAGACCATTTTCTGATTTCAAAATGACATTTTGTCCGCGGATAATCTCAAGAACGACAAAAGATATCAATGTCAAACTTTCAGGGATTATAGTTCGTGATAGATACTAGGCGGGTCGCTACATTTCGTTCGTCGTTGGCACTTCCTGTCGCTTACGGAAGTGATCAAAGAAATCGTAAAATTTCAACTTTCCTTTTTTAAATCAATACTTACATCACGTTATTGCATCTCTTTTGTAGTTTCGAAATATGTTAGTCCCACCGGAAACAAAAACGTCAACTTCCGGTTTCAAGAGAAAAACTACATAATTTAAGTATTTTTCTTTCCTATTAATATCTTTTGTAGATAAAGTAATAGATTAAGGTAATAGGTAATAGATTAAGACACCAAACTTACATGAGCAATAGACCTTAAGATGTAGGCAAAACCATTTGGGTTCAGAGCGTCAGTCGTCACTTCCGGTCATCACAGGAAGTGATCAAAGAAATAAAAAAAAAATTCTTTTTTTTTTTGAATTAAAACTTGCATCACTTTATTGCATCTTTTTCCCTGTTTTGATATATGTTAGGTTCCACAAGATACAAAAACGTCAACTTCCGGTTTTAGGAGATAAACTACGTTATTCTTATATTTAACTTTCTCATAAATATCGCTTATCGATAAAGTACCTGAAATAATTTTATGCATGTTGTAGATACTGCAAATGTCTAGTGAAAAGTCAGAGATTTTTATAAAATTCACTTCCGGTTGTGTGTTTACCTGTTCTCAAAATTAGAATTTAGTCCCACAATATTATTCGGCAACAGTAAACGACTGAGGACTAAAACTTTCAGGACTGATATTCAGTCATCAGTTTATTTGAATCGTGAGAAAATCTTGCATCGCCGTTACTTCCGGTCGTGAAAGGAAGTGATGTAAAAAAGTGAATGGTTAATGGTTAGCACATTGGATTTTCACACTGACGATTAGGGTTAAATCTCCAGAGTGTCTGAATTTCTTTTATCACTTTTTCAGCTTGAATTTTCGTTTTTATTTTCAGAATCGGACGGAAGACCTCTCATTGCTCGCAATGAGTTTCTAGTTGAGGTCTTCCGTCTTCACGGAAGACCTTATAGTGATTCTACTGTTTCTTATTAAGGTCTTCCGTTTCCAACGGAAGACCTTCTACTGATTCTGTTGTTTCTTTTCCACTATTATTATTAAGGTCTTCCGACTTCAGCGGAAGACCTTACTGTTATTCTTAGGTTTCTTTTCCACTATTTTTATTATTGTTTTTTTTCCCTACCGATTTTGTGCACTCGAGTTCTCGGAAACGGCTCGCCCGATTATCATGAAACTTTCAGGTCTGATAGAGAATTAAAAAATCTAGATATGTATTTTTTTATTTTGATGACGTCAATTCCGGTCCGGAGATTTTCGAGATTTGGTGATTTTCGAGGGTTAGTTTGTCCGGGCATTTTCAAGAAAAGCACTTAACACAGGAACGTGAGATTTTCAGTGATGATAGAGCAACATATATAGATTTGTACTTGGATGTTCATTTTTACCCGAAATACCAAACATCAACGTCCGCTACAGCCCAAATTTTTATCTTCTTTTTCCTACTTGTTAACTTTGATGCCTCATATCTTGCTTATTTCTCAACGGATTTTAATCAAAATTTCAGAGTTTATAGACGTTACAAAACTCTATCAGAATAATATAATATTTTTCCAAAATCCACTTCCGCTTTCGAGTTATTTCCCTTTAAGTGAAAATTTAGGGTCTTTAATTTCCAGACAAATATTCCGAGACTACAAAAGTTGGAACATAAATACTACTGAATATAAGAAACAGAAGCAATGAAGTTGTGAACATTGGTTTTTGTTATTTGATTTCTGCGTTCAAACTGCCGCTAGATAGGGGTCAAAAATTAGGACGCATGAAAGAGCAAAACTTGACACATGTTTTCCTTCGTATCTTTTAAATAAGAAATATTTTATTAAGACATGTAGAATAAAAGTTGTGTACAATTTAATTACCTTTTATTTGACACCACTAAAAAGGAGCTGGCCCCTTAAATTAGGGATCTAGGGCCCTTGAAAGTTTTTGCTTTATAACTCAAAAACGAGAAAATATTTCGATATGGCTGTCGATAAAAAGTTGTTCCTTTATACCTTCTTTGTCTCATGAAAATATTATTTTGTTCGAGTCTTGTGTATGGTAGGGGAAAAAAGCTAGACCCGTAAACAAGGACCCGTTTTAATTTGGTTAGTGAAGAAGAACTCTTTATGCGTATAACTGAAATAAACTTGCCATGAATAATATATCTTTCAACGCTGTATCCTAATTTTTTTTAAATTAGGTTTTAAACGTGCTCTTTGGTTCCTATTCAGATTATTCGGTGACAACTTTCTCTTTTTATTGTGTTTTAAAATAAAGAACCTTCCAAGAGAGAAAGAGAGAGAAACAGAAAAAAGTTCAAGTATCTTTTCTGTGTTTAAATATGAAAGCAAACAATATAAACGCGAAAAAAAACTTTTAAGAGTCAAATAATTCACAATCATTAACTGCGTGATCCTTACATTCACCTGAACCCCAGATTCTATTCTGTTTACCGTTACGTAACCCATCCCTCGATCACGCGCGGTCGAGAAGATCTAAAGCGATCCACCGCGTGTGAACCATTGACCCACAGTCGTAAACAAAATAAAAATCGGCGTATTAAGTCTGTTTTGTAAACACGATAATTAATGGGCAATTATTAATATCGAATATTTGAGATTATGTTGGTTTATCTTTGTTTTAAATTTGATCATGATACATGTAGCCTTAATCCAAAACGTCTAGCCAGGTTTTGTGTTTGTTTACAATTACGCAACCATTAACCATTCCTTCGATCGCTTGTGGTCAAAGCAGTCCCCCGTGTGCATGTAAACCAGTTCGCAGTCATCAAACACTATTGTTTTAAATCTAATTTACAAACACAACGACTTACGGGAAAATATTATTTTCTTTAAGTAAATCGAATCTTTCAAATAAATTATCTTAATATCTTAGATTTGATTTAAGTACAAAACGCTAAGCATTTAATCAGTCTTAAATTTTAAATGTTCGTTATCTCCATATTTCAATTGTTTTAACGTTACCAACAATTTATTTTCCAACCGTGTGTAATTTTACTTTTAATTTGGTGATTCATTGCGTATGGACTAGCGATCTGCGGTTGCTTTAATTTAACCATTAAACGCACAAGCTTTGCGCTTTCTCTACGTTTTGAAACAGTAAATTAATCCGTTTTCAACACAAATATTTCCAGTCATATTTTTTTTCATCACAGGATTTTATCATGATTATACCAACTTTAAACTTTTAAAGAGAATCTTCCGAATCATAAGGGTGACCAGTCTTACTTTAAAAATGATTCGTTATTTTTTTTTTTTTTGAAAAGTAATGAAATGGATTAAACATTGATAGGTACATGTACCTCCGTCACGTGGCCAAGGTCTGAACTTCATAAGCGACTTCTGTGTTTCACTATACCTATTTATATTACAGGGTTGATAGTAAAGTTTTAATAAAATACCTCAAGATTTTAAAGCAATGAATTATGTCTCTTTAATTAATTCAAAACCCGTAAATGATCTTTTTTAAGCATAGTATGCTAACATCATAATTTTGTTGTGGGATTAAATATCGGTAGCGGGTTATACATGTAGATAACAATAAACCTATATATCGTATGTCCAGCACTGTGAATTTCAGAATGCTTATAACATATTTTTTTTAAATATCAATTGGGACGGAAAAGGTACACACCGGGAAAATTTTAGTATCACTTGAATATCTAACTGCAGAACTGTACATGTAGCTTTCCGAAAAAAAAAAATATTGACGGACCGGAGTCTCTGGTCATCCATCCCATTTTTTTCAGACCAGTGAACTTCAGTGCAGCTACTGAATATCACAAATTTATCATTCTTAATTAATACACTTCGACAACTTTATTTCAATTATTAAAATCATAATCGGCAGCCTTTGTATCATAAACTATTAAACTATTTGTATCGTTTACCGTATAGAATTGAGTATTTTCTTTCAAATAATTGACTTGTAACTTACGTACATTACTTTTCTGGGTTAAAAAATACGATCGAGAGAGAGAGAGAGAGAGAGAGAGAGAGAGAGAGAGAGAGACTCATTTGCTCATGTACATATATACCAGGTAGTTCCTGTATCAAATATTGTTCAATTTTCCTAATTTTATTTACAATATCAATCATAATCTCTCTATTCTGTAAATCTATTTGTTGGTTATTTTCAGCTTCAATCACAATATGTAGTACTAAAATGAAGTCCATGCACGGATGCTTTTGTACACCTGGAAATATTTTTTATTTAATCCTTCCTCCTTCACGGAAAAAAGATTAATTAATAAATTAACCGAACGAGGTTGAAAAAATGCCGGACTATTTTT